ATAGTTTCAGACATATCTGAAGGGAATGATGGAGATATTTGAGATGCCAGACTGTAAATTCAGTGCTAGGAAAATTTATTACATCAAATTGGGTAGTCATTCTCAAAGAAATCAGGACAATGAGACAAATAAAATTTATAAGCCTCAAGATAAGGCTCCATTTGCTGTTAGGGAGATGAAAGGTAAGAATGTGGTCAGAGGAAGGAAAGACAGCACTATCTGGCTGGAGGATTTGAAGAGAAAAGGAGGCTCATCTGAGGTCAAACCGCCTAATTAGATCAGTATGGTCCTGCCACGTGGCACCCAGCTGTAGGTGAGCTGTACAAGTCAATATACAAAGCTAAAGATGGACTTGGTGGGGGATTAGAATATCAGTTGGAAAATAGATTTTTTTTTCCTGGTAGTAACATTCACTTAAAAAAATTTATTTGTTTATATTATCATTAAATTATTTTTTCTTGTAGTATTTTAGGACTGAAGTTTTGTTTTTTTTTTGTTTTTGTTTTTTTTTTTGAGTACTAATCTTCTAAAGTGTATAATTTGGAGTTCTCAGCCACTGGGCTCAATCCCAGGAAAGGTCAAATGTCTTGCCAACAAATACAAAGAGGTGTATTTCTGTGTTGGGAGTATGAGAATATATGATTATCGAGGATTATTTTTGCACAATCATTAGTTCAGACTATGAATTCTTGGTAATTAGAAATTATGTGATAAAAGTAACAAACTAAAAGACTTTTGATTTAAGAATGTGTTATCAATAACATACTCATTGAGTCAACAAAACCCCTGAACACAAGCTATGAGCAAAGGATTCACAAGGCTGCAGGCACCTCTGATAGTCTATGACAAATCTAGGCACAGGCTCTGTGTTTTGTTTGGTCATTTTATCTTTGATTTACAATGCCTTGAATGGTGGCTGGCTCTTAATACATGATCAAAGTTTGTGGAAAAATCGATTAAATGAATAAAGACTTAATGTAAGTTATATAGCACAGTTATATACTGCTACTACTACTACTACTAATATACTGTGTTTACAACTTACACAAAGTAAAGCTGAATTCACTCAAATATCTAACTCTTGGAAGATAAATGCAAGTACGTGGTAGCTGATTTAAACAGCAGTAGCAGAAGTGAATACCTGCAAAGTAAATTTTATCACAGGTAGGAACCTGTGAATGACTCTGATTACTTGTCAAAAGAAAAAGATACTGAGTGTAGGCATTTTCTTTTTCTCCTTTGGATCAGCAATCAGATTCACTGAGATCATTGATTCATGAATAGCACTATATACTTACGTTGAATTTTCAAGTAGCCAGTGCTTCACAAGTGTTTATATTACAAGTACACACTCAGCCATCTCTCTTTTTCTCTGGTGTGGTATTCCTGTGATTTTTAGCTGGAGGGAACTTGAGGATTTCCTTTTTGGCTTATGTCCTTTAATCAATATATTTTTTTAAATTAAGAAAAATGTTTTTTCTTTTCCAGTGATATAAGATTATTTGAATGATTAATATGTGCTTACAAGGTCAAATGTATTCATTTTACACACAGAACAAAGATTGATTTTATTTTTTAAGTGAACATGTAAACAACTTGAGATGATTCAATTGTGAAATACTTGCACTGATTTCTGTGCCCTGATTTGTTTCTCAATAGAAGTTTGATAAGAAAATGTCAACAAAATCTGCAAGTTTCAAATGGAAACTTGTTTAAGCTTTGGACATTCATCTAATTAAAAATGTGCAGAAATTAAAGTAATTGAAATACTTTGATTCAATCCCTAAAAACAGTAGGGCTCACAATTTTTTGAAAGATGAGGGGTGTAAGGTAATAAAAGAGATTTTAATATTGGAAAGATAAAGGAAATGGCAAATTAAACTTTAACATTTATTAAGAATTCCTGATAAGGGACAATTCAGGAATTAAAAGGTCACACAGCCTTCATGTGTTATAACTATTCAGCTTTTATTTCCTCAAAGCTATTTTTCAATCACTCATATGAAATTATTCATAACTGATTTACTGCACTGGACAGGAGTTATTTTCTCCTCCTATTTCTGACAAATATCTTCAAAGCTCTTATAACATAGACAGCAAGAGAGGAAGTGAAATGAAATGGGACTAAGGGGGGAAAAAGGGCAACGCTCTTAAATCAAACAGCGCAGAAAGGTGAACGGTTCAGTTCATGAATATCTCAACAATTCCCTTATAGAATTTTGCCCTTAACTTCGGGTCTATCTGCAGGCTTCATCCAAATGAAAAGTGAATAAATAGAAACTAAACTGAAAAAAATAAAACTTTCTTGCCAGTAATTGTCAAATAAATGTCTCTTAGAAATAAACTACTTTATTAGCTGTTAACCAACCATGAGAAAATATTTCTCCTACTGGCCACTTTTTATTTAACTATTACAGCAGTCCCCCTTATCTGTAGTTTTTTAGACCGTGGTTTCAGTTACCCATGGTTTCAATTACCCATAGTCAACCTGGTCTGAAAATAGGTGAGTAGAGTACAATAAGATATTTTGAGAAAGAGAGAGCAATCACATTCATATAATTTTTATTATAGTATATAGTTATAATTATATAGTTTCAGACATATCTGAAGGGAATGATGGAG